TTGATCATGCAGCACTGGGAAGTGTTCTTTCTCTTAACACTGCAAGCAAATTTAGTGTGGAAAGATTTCAGACATCCAGAGAGGTGACCACTCACTCAACCCCAGGAAACTGCCTGTCATTTATGATGAGCTGCTCTCCTCCCTCTTCCTGCTTATTTGCCTGGTAGATAAAAGATTGTCACCAGAGGAAATCAAACCAATTTTCTTTGCTTTTATGACACATTAAAATGAACCCTTTTGCAGCAAAAATAAGCATTAAAATATATGTGTTACTTTCAAATTTTATATGGTATCTTATCAAAATTCTTTTGAGGTTGTATCGCACTTCCTTGGCAGAGGTCGTTAGCTGTCAATCCATCATGACATATCATTAGAGATTTCAGAAGGGCCTTGTGTCACCTAATATTCTTTTCTGAAAAGTTATGGATGTTTCTCCTAAAGTGGATGTGAGAGTCACGAAGATGTTTGGAAGGATGTAACTGTGCAGGAGTTTGGATGTTAGGTAGGGCAATGGACATTTCTTTAATCCATAGTATATGGGTACACCTGTTGTAAAAGTATCCTTTCAAGTTTGAATATTTTCCAGTGTGATTTAACTTTAGACATAATTGTAGGTAATTTAGTATTATAGAACAAATATAATTTTGTTGCTGATTTATATATTTGGAATTTTTCCCTCTTGTGCTACTAAGTAGATTAATCAAAGAAGGAATTTTATTTGCTAATAGCATAAATAAAAGGTTTTGCTTTTTTCCTATATAGGAAACATTTTAATCAGATGAACTTACAAGTTCTGTACTTTTTTCATGTCTTACATTGGGTCCTCTTTGTACTCTGTTTCTACTTCTGGAATAGGTCTTTGGACCCACTGACAGTTTCCTTCTTTCTTCTTTATATTTACTCCTTCATTCTACTGTGGGCTTCTCTGCCTTTGCTTGCCCTTACTTTGTCCTTGGCAAGCCCTCCCCTCAACAGAAGGTATCCTGATGTCAAGATGTAGATCCATGTTCTGAGGTCTGTAAGCTTGTGAAGAGGGATGAAGAGAACCATAACCACACACACCTGTGCCCCTGGCATCCAAAAGAAATGCTGGGCTGGTGATGGCTATGTCAGTCTGATGCCAAAATAGCATCCTAGTACAGCCAATTCAATCAAAGACAAGCAATTCAGTGTAAATTTAGTCCATGTGGTACCTTGGCATTTTGTAGACCAAACAAGCTGGTTGAATGATAGCACTGACCAATTTTCAGCCAGTACTTTCGGTGTTTCGTAAAGCAGCGATTGCTGGAGGGCATGAACCTTCAGTTAATATGTACAATGACAGATCAGATACCAGAAGAAGAAAGAACTTCTATTTACATCTGGAAAATAAGGATATCTACTTGACTAATATTAAATTGTATGGATAATTGCATATGTGATTTTTGAGATGTAAATAATGGGATGAAATTTTAGGGAATTCATAGTCAAAACAATCTGGTGACTATTTTAGCTCATTAATTTTCTAGTCTGTGTATTCAAAGCTCCCTAGGAACAACAGAACTATGGTAAGAGTCATCTTATTAATACATGTGGATGGACCTGCTTTCTAATGTAGTGATCTACTGAAAGTTTACAATGGTTCATTTAAAATTCACTATGAAAATATCTTCCTTGGTCATTGGTGGCTGGCACCTATAATTCTAGCTACTCAGGAGACTTGAGATTTGAGTATAGTTGTTTAAAGTCAGTCTGGGCAGAAAGTTCTCTGAGACTCTTATCTCCAATTAACCACCAAAAAGCCAGAAGTGGAACTGTGGCTCAAGTGGTAGAGCACAAGCTTTGAGCAGAAAAAGCTCAGGCCCTGAGTTCAAACTCCAGGACTCAGGACTGGCGCGCGTGTACACGCGCACGTGCGCACACACACACACACTACACCTTATATTAGAAAATTATTGTGAATCCATTGAAGAAGACACAGTTACACACAGGATACCTCTTAATAAGGGAAATGGAGAATTAAGTCCTAACACTCTGTTAGTCTGGTTGATAAATTAGTCAGAATTATGTTTCTGTAACAAATATTCAAGAAATCAGTTTGTGAAGAGAAGTTAAGGCTATTCCTCAGTTTGGGAGCTTTCAGTGTGTTCTACTGCTTTTGAGTCTATGGTGTGGCAGACATAACAGTAGTTTATGGCAACATTATTCTTCTCTAGCTGGGATGAGAAAGAAGGAGATGCTTCTGGTCCCAATACTAAAATATCCTAGGTTAAGGAAGAACCATTTAATATATGAGTCTTTGAGAGACGTTAAAACCCAAAGCTATAGCAACTGAACACATTATTAAATTTATTAGAACAGGTTTGCATCCTTTATAAATTAAACCTTCAAAAAAACTCCAATAACCCGATTAATGAATGGGCTAATGATTTAAGAGAGAATTTTCAAAACAACATTGAGATTCCTCCTCCCCCCATTAGAATGGCCATCATCAACAAAACAAACAAAAATAGGTGTTGGTGAGGATATGACCAAAAGAGAACCCCATTACATTATTGGTGGGAATGTGTACTTGTTCAACCACTGTGAAAAGCAGTGTGAGGGCTCCTCAAAAAACTAAACATAGAAATATCCTATCCTATGATCCAGCAATTCTACTGCTGGGCATTTAACCCAAAGAATACAAACCAAGATATAGTAAAGCCACCATACATACAACCATATTTATTAGAACACTGCTCACGATAGTCAAGGTACAGAATCATCCCAGACACCCCTCCCTGTTTAATGGGACAAATGGATCAAGAAAAATGTGGTATATATACACAATGTAATTTCACTTCTCCATTTTAAAAAGATGATATTGGACCATTTGTAAAGAAATTTAAAAACCTGGACAAGACTATGTTAAACGTAGTAAGTCAAGCTCAGACTTACAAGCCCTTATATGTAGAAGCTTGATTTAGCTTACAAATTTATCAGTAAATACATTGGGTGGTATATATTAAAAATCTTAATTGAAATATGGTAGAATGAAGGGAGATCTCATATAGTGTAATTCCGTAGAAAAGCACAATCAAAGTTCAGCAAAGTAAAACACCAGAAAACAGGTATTTGAAATGGATGGGATAAAGGGATAGATAAATGAAGAGGAAAAGAGGGGGAGAATGCAGTCAAGAATACAATGTGTACCCTGCAAAATTAAGAAGAGTGAGGGAAGGGGTAGAGAGGAGAGGGTTGGGTGAGAGTGTTGAAAGAGGTGACATTGATCAAGATATATTGTATTTATAAGCTGCTTTGTTAAATGGCAATTCCTTTGTACAACTACTAAAGATAATAAAAAATTAAGCATCAAATTACTATATTACTATTATACATTACAGATATGTATGTTTCTATGTCAACAACTTTGTATGTATATATTAATAAATTTATATATATATATAAGTAATTTTAATCCTGAATTTTGAATTCTCCTACCATGCTTTTAAGCAATATTGCTCTTATCCATCTTTACTATTATTATTCATAATTGTTAAGATATTTTCAGGAAATGTGAACAGTACTAGGTAGTACATTTGGTAGATATTTGCATGTATAAAACCATAATAAAGCAGAATTGAATTTCTATGCTCAAACCAAGCTCCAAACAAAGCAAGCAAGCATACTGACAAGAGTTCTGTTAAGTTAAAGGATTTGGCAAATCGCTCTTCTGATCAAAAGTTAAAACAACTTGGAAAAGCAGCTAAGGCTTTCAGTGAAAGCTTCAGTGAATAGCAGCTATCAAAAAAATCTAAAAAGGGTTATGGTAGAGTAAATGGAGACCAGCTGTTCTCTAACTCAGCAGAGCCCAGACATGAACAAAACTAAATAAAAACTGAAGTGTGTTATGACAGATCATTGACTCCAGGGAACATTTCTTGGCAATTAGCATGGTTGGCGTGGCTCCTTAGGAAGTCAGAACCTATTCCACCTATTGTATTTCACATTTAAGGATCCTTGTGATGAAATATGGCAGATGGGATAACATGTTTTCCAGAGGTCACCTGATTAGCAACCTTAATTCCCCTTTGCTCTGTCATATAACATACTCACAGATTCTTGAAATCAGGTTATGGACATGTTTGGGAGGAGGCATTCTGCCTCCTATACATTTTTTTTTAAAGCAATACTGGGATTTGAATTCAAGGCCTTGTCCTTGTTAGGCAAGGACTCTACCAGTAGAATCACACTACCTCTCCAAACTACCAGGAATTGCATAGGATCCAGCCATACCTCTTCTGAGTATCAGAAGAATCAAAGTTACTATATCCATGCTTCTTGCAGCACTGATCACAGTAGCCAAACTGTGGGATTGTCCTAGATTATAAATAGAAAAAGAAAATATAGTATACATAATACAATGGAATTTTCTCAGCCATTAGGAAGAGTTAGTGTTTGTTTTTGGTTTTTCCACCTCTGCTTATTCTCCATTGGACCATCTGCTGGGTCCTGGTATTTTCCCCTTGTCTGACTTGCCCCTAGTTTTGTATGTATCTCTGTAGTACTAGAGCCACCTCTTTCCTGCATCACCATGGAGACAGGCCACCCCAAATCACACAATAAGTAGGGCAATATCTTGTTGCAAAATGTGTATTTTCAGGTCTTTTATTTATTTTTTTCTTCATAAAAGAAATTATCTGAGTTACAGGAGCTCTGTGGGGAATTTTAAGTCTGTAGCTAGATTTCTGCTTCCTGGGTATATACACAGAAGGCAAGGCTGTAGACGGCTCAGCTCTCCATAGTTATGTGCCTTTCGACAAATCACAACCTCTGAGGACTCAAGTTTTCTGAAGGAGTTTATGTATGTAACATCCCTGGGGAAAACAATACCATGTAAGTGTTTCGCATTTTTAGCCACCATCAGTAGTTTTGTTTTGTTTTGTTTTTTGGTATGGATTGGGAAATGTGGTTTTCAAGGTTTAAGCTTGCTGCTGATCCTGATTTCTTTTTTGTGTTTTCATTGTTTCCCATGGATTCAGGTTTCTCTGGGACTTCTACATGCCCTTGCTACACATATTCTGTGGCCACCAGAGCGCTGGCAGAAACTGGAATCTGTGCTTCCTCCAGAGCGGTCCCCAGTGGTTCAAAGTGAAGAGTAATGACTGCACGTTGCCACCCGAGTGCCCGGCGCTGAGCTGGTGATAGGTGTACTATGGTGCAAGAAAGCTTTGCGTCATACTAAAGTGGTCTGTATTCTTTAAGAAGGTTTTCTTTATTAAACAGTATTTAGTGACCCATGGTGTTCTGTGTTATATTTCAGTGTCCTATTGATTATTGCCAAACTTGTGCAAACCTTTGGGAATATATAAAAACAGTATACCTCTATGTCAGAAGCGTGTGGAGGTTAAGTTGAGATTATTTGCTGTACATAGCCTGTTGATAGATTTTCATTTTGATGCTTACTGCTAATTTTGAAAATTATTATTCAATGGAACTGATTTGTCATTTGCCATGAAGATAGAGCATGTGCACACACACACACAAAAACTATATTACACATATAATAATAATAACTATATTGTAATTGACATGATCAATAGAGCAGTTGCTGCCAGCTACGGAAAATGTAAACTGTGATGATGAAATAGTGATTTGTTCAGGGCTTGTTTTGAATGTTGTATTATTATGTACCTAGGTCTCCATGAATGGAAACATTCTCCTTTATAGAAGTAAAGGATTACAATGATGAATAACCAGTCCTATTACTGCTTTCATACACTCAGACTTTTTTAGATTGGCCCTTTTTAATCCTAAACTTCTGGGAGATTATGCCTGTTCACAGCAATGAATAAACCCATTGTTTTCAGTATTCAGTAACTGGTGAAAAGTTCGAAGTAAAGTGGGAAAATCACTCCAGATCAACTGACTTTGATTTTCCCCAAAATGATTTCTCCCTGCTCATGCTTGTCAAACTAAAAGCATCAGTTGCAAAAGGGAGTGTAATAGCATAATAGATATTGTAATTTGTACAAATAAGAAGGCAAATTCCCAGTATACAAGTTAATAGTGTTTATAAAGCCTTTTTTTTTCTTTTTTCCTTGCATTGGTTAGCAGTTTGTGCTGATCGAAATTTAAATCTCTGGATCAAATATCTCTGTTCATCTAGTTTCCATTTCTTCTGTTTTACCAGCAGACAAGATCCACATAATGACTAGCCATCTTGTAAATGTGCATGCTTTATAGGCAGGAATGAAACAAGCAATATGTGTGTGCATGTGTGTATGTATGCATATATGTATACATGTATATATATGCATATTAAAAATATACATTGCTACTAATAGTTTGAGAATCATGATAGCTCATTTAACCAACATCAGTGAGCACTTACATACTAAACATGGTCAGAATTTCTTTCTTTCTTTTTTTTTTTTAAATTTTGCTGGTTCTGGAGCTTGAACTCAGTGCGTGGATGCTGTTCTTGAGCTTGTTTTTTCTTTTTTCCTCCTCAACTAACACTCTACCACTTGAGCCACAATTCCATTTCTGGCTTTTTTTTGGTATTAATTGGGGATAAGAGTCTCACAGACCTTCCTGCCTGGGCTGGCTTTGAATCTCAATCCTCAGATCTCAGTCTCATGAGTAATTAAGATTACAGACATAAACCACTGGTACTCAGCTGAATTATTAATGTTCAAAGCAGATCTATTTAAAATCTTTTAGTGGGTTTTCATTTCTCTTCTTAATTTTTCAGTTTCATATCCTCCCTTCCCCAGCTTGAATATCACACTCTGACCTTTCATGCAGTTTGCCAAGTACTGATATTTCACGTTTTGTAACTTTTCCTCCTTGAGACTACATCTGAGATACATAGTGCATATGCTTATTGGCCCTTCACATGAGAAACTGGAGAACAATGAAAGAGGGGCTGCGGCAGTACTGAGAGAGGGTAATATAAGGAGCAAATGGAGGGTAGCCAGAAGCAACTTCTGTTTAGCATTAGAATTCAATATTGCATTAGTTTAGTAAACTGGCTACCAGCCTCAGTTCCTTTATCGACTACCTGTTTCCTTCTCATTCAAACTGTTAATTCACCATTGATAATTTTTAGAGAGAAGGTAAATGCTCTTCCTATTCCACCTTTTGTATTCTTTAGCCATCTAGCACTTTGCCAGCAGAGTTAACACCTAATACTTCCTGAACAACTTCAGTTACTTCCTGAGAAATGCAACCTAAGGCAGTTAATTATGTAGCCTCTGGTTTATAGTCATGATTGTATCAGCCCGCTGGATTCAGGTGTGTATTGTCTCTCTGCTAAACTGTGAGCAAGTTTTTGTCCAAGGCAGGGCTACCTTGCTTAATTTGTTAATGTGACTGCACAGAATCAGCAATAGAATTCTAACCTGTCCAAGTATGAGTCTGAGACACCATATTAAGGATGAAAAGTTCAAATGAGTAAAACAAAGAACCATGGTCTACTGGTGAGAGGGGAAGGAAATAATAAGCAAATAGATACCACACAAGTTGACAGCATGTGTGGAGCCTGGGAAGCAGCAAGAATGTGAAAAATGGTTCTGTATTGGGAAGTGAGGGGTAGAGGGCAAACTGCTGTGTGCTGAGCCTTCTAGGCTGCGGAGTTATCCTGCTGTACATTAGAAACCTAATTCATACAAAACTATTGCAATCAGTCAAATTGTTCCCCACATTACTACCTCTAAACAATCTTGAGGGATGTAGATTTCATTTGCAGGACATAGAATTGTGGTTCCCTGGGATGACTGACATCTTCAGGGCTTTTTGCCCCCTTTGCAAGGACAATTTCACCAAAGATTCTGTAAAATATGGGTTGAATATGAGAAAACAATGTGTATGTGTGGGACTGAAGCCTGAATGCCTTGCTAAACAGGTATTCACCCTATGTCTCCAGTACTTTTTTACTTTTACATTAGTTATTTTTCAAATAGGGTTTTACATTCTCTCCCTCCCCCCTCCCCCTCTGTATATATGTATGGGTGGGTGTGGATGTGGGTAGGTGTGCATGTGCATCAGTCCTGAGGCTTGAACTCAGGGCCCAGACATTCTTTTGCTCAAGACTAGCACAGTACCACTTGAGTCACAGCTCTACCTCTGGCTTTTTGGTGGTTATTTCACAATAAAAGTCTCACAGACTTCCCTGCTTGGTCTGCCTTTGAATGGTGATCCTCAGATCACAGCTAGGTGTGAGCCAGGTGTGAGCCACTGGCACCCAACAGGTTTTGCAGTTTTGCTTGGGCAGGCCCAGACTGCAAGGATCCTGTTGATGCTTCCTGTGATATTCACCACCACCCTAGCTGTATGGAGATGAGGTCTTCCAGGCTGTACTCTCACCAAAGGCCTTTCTTATCAATGCCTGGGATCACAAGAGTAAGCCACCATGCTAGATGCATGCTCACTTTTATATTGCATGTATAGATTCTAAATTGATATGGTCAGCAAAAAAGAAAACAAAGAAAAAATTTAAAATTTACTGTGATTATAAAACTTCGCTGGCATTTTTTTTTTTTTTTTTTGGCAAGGAGAAGAGAGACTGGCCTTTGAAAACAGAACTTGTAAAATTCTTCAATCTTATGAATTATATCATACTTTAGTTCCTAAAGTTTATATTACATAATCTATCATCTCAAATGTTAATCATTCCAAGGTTTCATCTCTAATCATGTTAATACAAAGTATAAAAATACTCCATGGGTGTGACTTAAGTTGTAAAGTACTTGCATAGCAAGTACAAGGCTCTGCATTCATTCTCCAGTACTGCAGAAAACAAACAAAAAACACCCCTTCATTTTCTCCTTACCTTCCTAGCCTACTTTTATCTATCTATGTCTATCTATATATGCATATTTGTATGTATGTGTGTATGTGTGATTCCATTCTTGAGATCATTCAGGTCTCTTTCTTATGGTAGGCAATACTACATTTCTTTCCCTCTCTGCTGCTTCATTTCCTTCGAAGCATGCTCATTGGCATGATCCTACATCTTGTTGTATTCTGTGCCAACCAGTGTGTACACTGTGTATTATTTGTGTTGTCCAAAGTTGTGCCGCTGTATCACACCCATATTTCTCACTGCCCCTGTCAGATTTTGTTGTCTCTTCTTTTTTATATTGCAGTTCTGTTCTACTCACTTCTTTGAACTTGTTTATTATTCTCTTATTTTTGGATCTTCTATTATTGCATCTTTTTATTCCATGTTTTTGATCTTTAAAATATTTTGCTGTGTGTTTCATAATTCATTTTGCAAGTTCTCTACCTCTTTCTCAAATTTTTCTTGTCACTAACTTAGTCTTGTAATGTGAATGTGCATCTTCCTCATTTCCAACTTTAGTTTTTAAAATTTTCTTGCAGATTTCATTATTTCCTTTATAAAAAATGGATGTAACATACAATCTTGGCAAGCATAGAGACTGTTTGGTTTCTTCCCTTATTTTTCAAGTAGTAACCTTAACTTAGAGAAATCATTTCTTTCAAGCTCTTATGACATGACTTTTAAAAATAGATCTTGCATAAAATTTTCTGTTATCTCAAATTATCTTTGCATCACTAGACTTTTCTGTTTTTTTCTGTGCTGCTCTTTGGAAGATAATAGAACACTGTTAACAAGGTTTAAGGTAGAAGTCTTATACTGAAGTGTACCATTTTAATGTGGACAGTGGTGGTGTTTGCATGACATGTCAATACCTTTCTTGGAGATCTCTTCAATAATTTAGAATCTTACCATTAGTACATGTTAACTTATGTAGTAATAGTCATTACTTATATTAGTATACTACAATAGCATAACATAATAATAACAGTAAAACACATATGCTATCCCCCTCACCACTGTCCTCCTACCCTGATTCCTTCTTACCCCAATTCATACTAAAAGAAAGTGAACACAGTGAGGGAACAGAATTAAGAAGATGGAATAATTATTTTCTTATGGACCATCTTCACTTTTTATAATCTTTATCTGAATTCATTAGTTCTTTTTTAATAGTAAAGTGGAATGCATGAATTACTGGTATAGCATCAAGTACAGTAATCTATGAATTTTGATACTTTTTTTTTCTATTGTTATTGTAAAGGTGATGTGGGGGGCTGGGAAGGTGGCTCAGTGGTAGAGCACTTGCCTTGTATGCCTGAGGCCCTGGGTTCAGTGGTAGAGTGCTTGCCTTGCATGCCTGAGGCCCTGGGTTCGATTCCTCAGCCCCACATAAGAAAAAAGCCGGAAGTGGTGTGGTGGCTCAAGTGGTAGAACGCTAGCCT